GCAGACATAAACTCAAAATCCTTGTGCCATAGGCTCAGCAAGGATTTATTCAAGAAGGAACATCCTGAGTCATCTGAGATACTACATTCTGGTTGTTCTTCCTTAGTCTGTATTTGGGTGCTTTTGAGTTCCCGTGTTGTCTTAGCTCAGTGTATACTGTACTCTAGAAAACTGCTGATGGATCTGTCTCAGTATCCTCTACATAGTCCATCACGATGACAGCTCTTCATCTAACAGAATGTATGGAAAACAAAAACATATGAATGGATGAATAGTCCCAGGATCATGCTGGATCAAACCTTTAAAACACCCTTGCTGCAGAATTTCTTTATTATAATCTGAACCTTTAAACTAGAATGCCCATTCTTTTGTAGTGACCTTCCTATTCCACTCAAGAAACCTCTCAAACTTCGTTGAATCAGGAGATTTTGAGGAAGTAAAACAACATGATGAGAATCATTCCTCCATGCTGCTTTTGTCCTTTTTGACATTTCCATCTTGTATGTGATCAGAAATTCATAACTCAAGTGAACAGTGTTCATGATGATGGGCCATTCTTAATGCAGAAGTGAGTGGACACCTTTCTGGAAGGTTACCGTGCTTTCCACACATTACCTAAATTATCTTCAGACCAGTAGACCGTCCACTCAGCATCCGCCACGGTCTGACAGCCCAGATTTCTGTGAGCTAGATTTTACCACCCCTGTGGGCCCAATAAAGAGCAAAACAGAGTTCAGGGCTGTAGGGGGAGAAGCTGCTTTACTACGGCTGCTGTTCCTTTCAGAGGGTCTTACGCCAGATACTGAGCAGCTAAGGATGATGAGGAATAGTAGACTGGTAGACTGCAGCCTGGTCACAAAGCTACAGAGATCAAGCAGTTTAACGGAAGAAGAGGCTACTTTCACCTAAGAGAGCGTGGTAGGCACCTTCGAATGAGTGTTTACCAGACTCTGGTGAGTGAGGCTGGAGTTCTTAATTAAAGGCCCATATGTCCAAGTCCCACGTTAGACATTTTGTGGAGAAGCAGTGTGGTCTGGGAGAGTCATCACTGGATTAAAAGCAGGGAGATTAGACTTCTGATCCCAACTCTGTCATTAACCAGCTGTGTGTCCTTAGTAAAGGCAATTGTTCCCTTCAAAACTGCAACTGAGGACAGCTTTAGAGTAGAAAGAGACTCTTCATGTGGCTCCAGATCCCTCCTCTGGAGTCCTATGTACATCACAGATAAGCCTAGATGGCCCAAGCACTAATGCCTGCTACTTTTCTGGTGTTTGTCAGTCCCTTTTATAAAACATATCAGCCACCATGATAGACAGTAGGCTTCCTGGGGGCAAGAGCCACACTCATTTCATGCTTACTTCTTATACAATATGGATACACTTACCTCCATTTCTTGTATCTTTAATCTGTGACTATCATCTGACTCTCTGCAGTGTATTAACCCGTATGTTCTTTATTATTTTGAAAGGAAAAAATGTCATGTACCACTGTTGACATCTGCTAAGATACATGTATTCATCCCTTTGCAACTAATGGAAGCAGTGGTCTTCATCACATACACTGTTGCCTTCTGCATTACTCACTCCTCTACTTCTTATAATATGGAGATGGCCCCAATACTCCACAGATGCTGGGTTTTTTAATTCCTAGATAAAAATTTCTTTACTTTTATTGGATGTGTATGAATGTTTTACCTGCATGTGTGCGTGTACACCCTGTGCAGGCAGTGCCCCCAAAGGCCAAAAGAGTTCTAGAACTAGAGTTACAGCCAGCTGTGAGCCACCTTGTAGGTGCTGTAACTGAATCCAGGTCTTCTGTAAGAACAGTCAGTGCTCTCAGCCACCCAGCCATCTCTCCAGCCCCAACTTCCTTATTCTTGGAACTCCCCTATCAAGGCCTCCTACCCTTCTGCCAGCTCCCTACTCTGTCCTCTTAAGATGTTGTCTTCCTGATATATACCCTCAATGGTTCTGTCCGTGTTCCTGGCTCTTTTCACTCCCTCAATTCCTCTGGCTCCTACTCTACCTCCCACACTGGATTCTTTCTCAAGCTTGAGCCCTCCATTTCCAACTTTTTGTTACACCAGAGTCACATCAAATTTTAGCATGTTCAGACTAGCATTCAGTGTTTTTCCTCTCATTTTCCCCAGTTGAGCAATGACTCTTTGATCTATCAGGCTGTCTGGTCATGGAGTTCTTTTCCCTCATCCCCACAAGAGCCAGTTGGCACTGAATTTTATAACCTCATAGTGTTACTGGTGTTGTTTACTAGCTGCCGTCCTGGCTCCTGTGTCTTGTATATAATTCATCCTTCATGGTGTCACCAAAACGCATTTTTTTTCCTAAAGTCAAAATTCTGCCCAGTTGCCTTTACTGCTAAAATCTTCTATCCTCACCACACACTTGACAAACCATCAATTTCTTAGCTTGCAAGACCCTCTAAGACCTGAATGCTGAACACCCTCACGGCCTTACGCTGCCCTTTTTACTGGCATGCTAAACTTTTGAAAAGGAACTGTGTTCACTCTTTTTTTCTTTATTGACTATATAGATTTTTTTTTTCCATACAACATATTCTGGTTACAGTTTCTACTTTGTCCAAGTTCCTCCTCACCTTGCCTTCCATCCAGATCCATCTCCTTTCTGTCTCTCCTTAGTAAAAAAATAAAAGATCTGAAGAAGAGGCGAAGAAAAAGCACAAGAAACACATAGAGAATCAGAGAGAAACACATTAGTAGACAAGAGAATCTCATAACACAAAACCAGAAACCATAGTGTATACACAAATGATCTGTAAGGTTTTTTTTTTAATGCCCTGACAAAATATTATGAGGCAAAGAACTTCCAAAGGTGCCACTGACTTTTGTTTTGGCCATCTATTGCTGGACATGGGCCTTGCCCTTATGTGTAGTTTAAATCCCAAACACTAATGTTGTTTAAGAAAAAAACAAAAACAAAACAAACAAAAATACCACTAGCAATAAAATGGCTCCTGATAGCTGTTGGCATACTTTTTTAACACTCTTTTATTTACATTTCTTATATCTCTCTCTCCCTACTTTACCCAATCCTTTCCAACACCCCAACACAAGGTAGGAGAAAGAAAGGATTAGTGGGAGAGGAAGCGCAGTTCTCTTAACTGCTTCCTGCTGGTTAGAGTCATCAGGTCCCTGGGAGCCAGTCCAATCCTTGTGTCAGGAGAGCCCCAACTTGTTATCTCTCTGTATCAACTGCAACAGGACAGCAGGGGGAAAGCAGCTGGACACCTATAGGCTTAACAAGGTATCTTCTCTCTTCTGATAACAAGTCTAAAGACTGGAACTAAATACCATGCTTGCTAACTTTCTCCTTTTCGGGCAAAGTACAAGTTCCTTTGTCCCTTGGTTCCTAGAAACTGTACTGCCTCTCCTCCAGCATTTGGCATGTTGCTCGGCAAGCTGCTTGCCAGCATACAGGATCATATAGCACCTGAAGAGAAAACGTCTCTTATGGCCTTTGCTAGCTAGCTGGCCATAGCATAGAACATGACACAAAATCACGCTTGCTAAATGGGTGGACAGATGAAACCAAAGGATAACCTACTCAAAGACAATACTGCTGATCTTCCTTAAACCTTGTTCTTTCCCTATTCCTCAGCCAAATCGGAAGTTTGTTTCTGTGGTGTTTTTAATGACTACTTAGGACTCCTAAATATTATATCCTCAAGTAGTCTCTGTGCTACAAATTGAATATGAGTTATGGAGTGAGAATGCTAATTGGTGCTGCATCTCAAGGCTTACGCTGTATGGACAGAACATCATACCTATGAGGACATACAGTCTAAATTTCTTAGGGTATTTCCCATTGGAAGTTCCTTCTCATTGTCTTCTTCTTCTGGTATTCTGAAGACACTGGCAGGCATGTGGTACACACAAACTACCTGATAATAATGTCCCATCATATAAGTGCCATAACTAAGTACCATTCCCCTTTCATTTAAATTAGATAAAACCCAGAGCTGTGGCTTACAAGTAATGGAAGTCCACTGGGGGAATTAAAAGTTCACAAAGAATGGACCCATTGTAATAAAAGCATTTGCACAGCCAATGATTCCATCCCCTCCTGTGGCTCCCCTGTTCCTTGGGGTAAGATGAAATATCAAATGAGAGGACCTTTGGAAATAGTGTGAGGGATTTATTTTAATTGGAAATAGCGGGAGCATTCTGTGCTTAGAGTAAACTCTGGTCACACACAGTGGTGTCATCAGCTTTGTACAACAAGCTGTGAAACATCCAGGTCTTCCATGGTTCAGGATTTCAACCTCATTTGCTTCAAGTTTTCTATATTGCTGTATAAGTACAAATGAATCCTAAGGCATGTCTCTCTCCTGCTCTTGCTCCTATCTTTCCCTCCATATATGCCAATGGTTCTGCATTATATACTGGTACCTAAGTCAAGACACTGAAGACCTTCAAGTCATTTCTGTTAAGACCTGAGATAAACCCAGAAAGCAAACATAGGAACTGGTGGACAACAAAGATGATTATCATTTAAGTAGTGCAGCCATAATTCTAAATTCTTCAGCACATCCTGGGCTCTGCTCATGTATTAAGCACTTTACATGTGTGTCCTCACTTAAATCTCACAGCCCTTCTCTGGAGGTGTTATTCCCATCCTACAGAGGAAGAGACTATCCTGGAGAACCTACACTAGTCACTACATGGCTGTGATAAATTTCCGAGCTAGAACTACCTATAAGGGAGAGTAAAAGTTATATTGAATGCAAGGCCAGGTTTCATACTCCAGCCTGACTCCAAAGCTCAGGCTTTTAAATACTATTCCAGTTTTCCCTGGCATGGGGGTTATTTAAATTCCTGAAAATAAAACTCAGGCAACAAACTAAGGTAATATCAACCTTGTAAAGCTTCGTTATTAATTATGTGATGTAATTACAGCAGTACTTGGATAGTATCAAATTTCTGGAGCTGGTTTGACAGTTTTTTCTCACTTTTATATTTTTAGATGCATCATCCCATTCAGATGAAACCTGCAGACAGTGAAAAGTCCAACGGTAGGTGGCAACCAACTGTCTGATTTAATAATGTCTGCTACTTTAAATCGAGTCAGGTGGCAGAGGGATGAGCAGCTCTAGCTGCTGTTACCCTCTGGAAGGTGGACAGCTATTGCTCCAGGAACTTTCCACTGTTGTCGACAAATATGGAGACACTGGTGTTCTGCGACTCTTTCTCATTAATTTGGGGGTGGGGAGGCACAACACGAACTGTGAAGATGGTGGCAAGAATGGTTTGCCATAACCTGCTTAGGGCTTGCCCTATGTGGTGGCCTTGTGGGATTTGGCTAGTATTGATCTACTCCTGCTACAGCACAGGGATACCTGATAGATGTAAAAAACATGAGTGAAATAAGTAGCCCATTGAGAAACAGGCTACCATTCTTCGCTCTCTCAGTGTTCCTCTTTGACTGTCTTATTACATTCTTCTCTAAATTATACCAGTACATTTGCATCAGAATCCATTCAGAATTCAGTCTGCTGATCAAGAACATACAATTGCTGGAAAAAAAAATTGTGTTTGATGAGATCTATAATAAAATTGGATTTGTCTCTTCAAGGCACTTCAGAGTTGATAGTCCACATTTTTATCAAATTTTTGCTTCCATCTCTACAAGCCTCCTGTCCCTGTTTTGTTCCTTTAATTTACTGAAATGTATATTAAAAAGAAGTATCTACCTTCCTGGACTCCAGAGCTCTTCTAGCCCACAGACTGACATAATCAGCATTGTTTCCGTCCAGCAGGTAGTTTTGCACCTCATTAATTAGTAATCAGGGCAGAAGCCATGCACTTAGAGATCTATATATCGGCAAATGTAAATTACAATTGAGCTCTAAACCTCTCCATGGGATTTTTTTGTTTTGGTTTGTTTTTTGTTGTTGTTGTTGTTGTTGTTGTTGTTTTTTCTCTAATTGTTGTGCATCCTATTTTCTGGCTTCTTCACAAACTGGAAAGTTTTGAAGAAAACTCCCACGTCCCAAGAGTTGCCAGCACTTGTGTCAGAGACAAGGCTTACTCTGACACTCACCCGCCCTCTGAAGAGGCTCTGGTGCTTTGCTCCTTCCTTCCCAGCCCTGCACTTTCCTTAGTGCCCAGTCCCCTTCCCAATACTGTTTCAGCATTTATCACAAGAGACTTGTAAAAATCTGCCACTGCTTTGTTGTGAGACTCTGATTAAATTGCTTCCTTCCTTCCTTCATTAGTTACTCACTTATCATTTACTATGTACAACTAAAGTTGGCTAGGGGGTGGCATTACAGCAGTAAAACTGAAAAAGGAAAAAGAATATGACCCTAACATGGAACTTTATTCATTTTACTGACTTAATAACTAATTATAGCCACTCAAACATGGAAATTTGTATGAGCTCGTTGATAGAATAGGACCAGTGGTAACTACCTTACGGGTTGCTTTTTGTTTCTTCCTGAGCCTCAAAATAAGATGTTTGTTACATGGCTATCCTGGAACTTGTTCTATAGACCAGGCTGGCCTCAGACTCAGAGATCTGCCTGCCTCTGCCTCCCAAGTTCTGGGATTAAAGGTGTACACCACCACCACCACCTGGCTGACGGAACACTTATTAAAGTGTTAGTACCTCCCAGAGGGATACTCGGGCTGTGTAGCATTCCTCGCTGAGTATGTCTTCCTTTAAATGTTTCTGCCCCAGAAAGAAACATATACCCTTCTACTCCTTAGTGGCAAAGAGAGGCAGTGAATCATGTGGGAAAATCCTGTCAATATAAATCTTCTTATCCTTCGGCCTCATACATCTCTAAATTAGATCAGAACAAAAGTCATAAATGAAAATTTGTGGGAAAAGGTCTGTCTTATTTTAGCTTTAGTTTATATTTATAAACACACGAATTAGATATTTGAGGTGAGCACATAGGGCCTGAAATACCCAAGTATTGAAATATTGTATATTTTCTTCTTTGTATTGTTTATTATTCATGTATATAGTCAAATGTATGAATCCATACTGCCAAAAGTTCCTGGTGTTTTGCTGCTTTTACCCTCCAGTGTCAATTCTGGACACAGTGTTTGGTTTAAGTCTAACTCTACTATAGACCTTACTATTTGCCCCCAGTTTTTCATTATCTCAAAAGTCAAGGAGGATTTAGGTATCCTTACCCCTACAATAAAAACACCTTAAAATGGCCCTTGTGAGGAAACTGTACAGGGTAGCAGGTAAAGTAAGCTGCAACTGGGACCAAGTATTCAAATGAATGAGCCTATGGGGACATTTCTACTCACATCACCATACTCCATTCCTGGCCCTCAAAGGTTCATGGCCTTCTCATGATGTAAAATGTATTTCGTCCTCAACTTCAGAAATCCTAGTAGTCCATAAAGTTTCAACACTCTTCAGAAGTTCAAAGTCTGTTTTGAGACGGAAGGCAATCTCTTAACTGTGACCTCCCCCTCTTAAACCAAAAAGTAAATTACATACTTCCACCATAAACAAAGAAAATTCCAAAAGGGAGAAATGGGGACATAGTAAGGAAAAACTAGATCAAAACAACACTAAAACCCAGCAGGAAAATATCAACGCCTGTAGCTCCATGTCCAGGAATTTAAAAGGGCTTAGATGTCTGAACTTTGCAGCTTTTCTGCGTGCTTGTAACATACATTTCTTTTTTTGAGCTGATTCTTTCCTGTGTATTCAGTTCTGTTTGGGAGATGCCTCATGTCTCTGACACCTTCAACATCTTTTAGTCTTCACTGCAACCAGGCTTCACTTTCACAACTTCAAGTAATGGCCTGCTATGGCCTTCTCACAGAGACTCCAACGTTTCAACGTTATTGTAGGTGACTGTTAAAATTTACTATTAAATATCTTTTAGTAACGCTGCTGTTGATCCTAAATAGCTGTATAACCAAATCACCACACAGAGACTATGATTTATTTAATTAACCTAGAACACAATGCTGGGCAATAGTTACTCAAACCTAAACCTCCAAGCCCTCATAGTTTCCTAACATTTAGATTTCCCACATTATACTTGCTGTTAGTGATATATTAGGTCCAGTCCATCTCTCCACGTTGTTCCAAGATCTCTCTCCTGCCTCTGTTCTCCCAGCTCTCCTCTGCCCTTCTCTCCTCCTCCTCTGCCTCCCACCTTCCTGTCCTCTGGCTCCTCCCTCTCTTCCTGCTTCCTTTCTATTGCTCAACATTGTGGCTAGTTGCTTTATTTTGGCATGTCTACACAAAGTTGAGACAGGTGATGCTTAGAATAAGTATCACAATGCAATGTCCGGATTGAAACCAGAGAGTGGGGAGAAAAATCAGCATTTGAGTGAACAAGGGTAAAGTGTATACATTTCAAAAGAACATTATACCAACACAACATGCTGCCTAGCCTCAGTTGCTCTCTAAAACAATGGAAAAAAAATGCATGACTCCCTCACTCCTGAATCTTTCATGCCTTCAAAACCAGTACCATCTGGATTAACTGCCAAGTTAACTGCCATCTTAAAATGGACTCTTGTGGGACTGAAGAAATGGATTAGTGGTTAAGAGCACTGGCTGCTCTTCTCAAGGACCCAAGTTCAATTCCCAGCACCCACGTGGCAGCTCACACCTATCTATAACTCCAGGTCCAGGGGAATCTGGCACCTTCACACAGACATACATGCCGGCAAAACACCAATGCACATCAAAATAAATAAATCTTTAAAAAAAGAAAAAAATAGACTCTTGTTCCATTTGACTGCATTATCAGCAGCTTTTCTGTGTTTGGAGCAATTGCTTTCTATGAGGAAGCAACCCCTTAGGCTTTCTTCTTTCACAAACTGGAATCTAGCTGGGTGGAGTCTTTTCCTAAGGTCATCCTTCCTATTGTTCCAGTGCAGAGTGGGAGGCCTCTCCTTCAATGACCTTAACAATGAGAGGCAGAGACAAGCAGATCCCTAACAGTTCAAGGCCAGCCAGCCTGCTCCACAGTGTGAGTCCAGGACAGCCAAGGCTACACAGAGTAACCCTGCCTCAAAACAAAAAAAAAAGAAGAAGCAATCACAGTCTCTCTTTTAGCACATGCCTTAGCTAAAATACTAAGCTGCATAGTGTTCAGTTTCTGTCCAACCTATACATTTTTAGTCTTTTTTTCATATTTTTATTAATTAATTCAACTTACATCTTGGTCATAGGCCTCTCCCTCTTATCCTCCCAGTTTTACCTTCCCTGCTGCATCCCTTCTCCCCTATTCCTCAGAATGAGGGAGCCCTCATACCCAGACACCCCAGCTCATCTATTCGCACAAGGACTGAGTTTGTCTTCCTTGCCTGGTAGGGCAATCCCATCAGGGGGAGGTGACCAAAAAGCAGGCAACATAGTCCATGTCAGAGATATACCCCACCCCTCCAACTAGTGGGCCCACATGAAGCCTAAGACGCCCATCAGCTATTTATAAGTAGAGGACCTAGGTCCAGACCATGCATTGTCCTTGGTTGGTACAAATGATCTTCTTATGGAGACAGGAGCCTACTAGAGTTGTCCTCCATTGCTCCACCCAGCAATGGTTTGAAACATGTACTGACTCAGAGCCAAACATCGGATAAAACATAGGTAGTCTACTGGAAAAGAGGGGGGAAGGATAAATGAACCTAGAGGTGACAAAAGCTCCACTTTAAATGTCTTTCTGCCCCATTTGCTCTTCTTTTATTGTAAGCCTATAGAAAAGTTATTAGTAACTGCTCTACCACGGATTCAACATTATGCTGATTTGAAGTTTTCTCTATCAAAGAAATTAGGCCATTACTTTTTTTTTAGTTGGACCCCTGGAGACAGGTCCCTCTGTGCAGCCTGGCTGTCCTGGAACATAGACCAGGCTGGCCTCAAACTCATAGACGTCTATCTGTTTGTGCTTTCTTTTTTTTTTTTTTTTATTTTATATGCATTAGCATGAAGGTGTCAAATCCCTTGGAACTGGACAGTTGTGATCTGCCATGTGGGTGCTGGGGATTGAACCCGGGTCTTTAGGAAGAGCAGACAGTGCTCTTAACCACTGAGCCATCTCTCCAACCCCTGCTTGTGCTTTCTAAATGCTGGGATTAAACACCCAGCAGTCCATTTCTTTTTAATTTATCCTCGCATAAATTCTCAGAACATAGGCAGAAAACAGCCAGATTCTTTGCCAGAACGTCATAGAAATGGTCTGTAGGTTTGTTGCTAATACAATCCTTATTCCCCTATGAAAGTTCTCGAGCCTGATTTCCACTAATCTCAGTACGTGTGGCTTTCATACTCCCATTTCAAAATACCATTAAGTTCTGCTAACTACCTTTAACTATTTTTCCAGTCCAAAGCTCCAAAGTCTTCCACGTTTCTTCTCGGAAACAACCCTACTCTCTGATATCAACTTCTGTGTTGGTTACTTTTATGTTGCTCTGAAAAGAAATATACTGACCAAAGGAAAAAAGAGTTTGTTTGGGCTTGTAGTTTCAGAGGGAGAGTCCATAAGGTCAGGGAAGGCATGGTGGCAGGAGGCCAGAAAAGGAAGCTAATAGATCACATGTCAAGCTCTCAACCACACAGAGGAAACATTGAACTGAAATAGAGGTGAGGATATAGAAACTCTCAGAGCTCGCCTCCAATGACATACTACCTCCAGAAAGCCTCCACATCTTAAAAGTTCTATCAGCTCCTCCCAAAGTGCCAGGTGTTCAGATGCATGAGCCCATTGGGGGAAATTTAACAAAGAACAGTGAAGAGGTTAGCATAATGAGCACAGCAGAAATACTCAGTTTGCTGGGTTACACTGATGCTGAATTAGCAGCACAGTTCATAAGTGGCCCTAGACTGTTCACACCACAGTACAGATCTGTGAATCCACAAACACTGAAAATCCACAAACCTGCTTATAGAGTGAGTTCTCTTATTGCCTTCATTTTCTGAATTTTTGATTTGAAAAGTCAAAAACATGAGAGAAGAATTACAATTACATTTCAAGAACTCTTGTTGTAAGAAAGTTCAAATGGAACTTTGTCTTACATAGATATGAACAACTTACATGTTTCCCTTTGGGCCTAACTTTGGAATCAGAAGAAATGCCTACTTTTAACACTCAAAATTTAAGTGCTGCAGCCCTTTTGTTTCGCCATGGTATTTTTGACAGGTAAGCATAGTTTCAGAAGCATAAAGAACACAAAGATTTCTTTAGTTCAGACACTCTGAACAGCTCCTGTAGCAGTGAAAGAAGTACAACAAGCTCTAATTGCACTTTTATTGAGTTTGCTGACATCTATGTATAGCAAGAAAGGACTCATCACAGCTAGACAGTTCCTGTCTTCATTATCTCTGTGCTCAGATTCTAAAAGTTTTTATAGCCAGGACTGCTAATCACAGATCAGTTAGTTATGGATAAGAGAATTCCAGCAAAACAGTCACGCTTTGAATCATTAGCCATGTACAGTCTGATATAGGGAATCTCTAGTGAGGTGAGAAATGTTAAATGCTTGGACATCAGCCCTGTACTGCTGGATTGTACTGAATGGGCGTCCTAAACTTTCATAGCTCTCTATAGCCCACCCTTCCAAAGCTATAATTTAATCTGCATCCTGTCTCATTCATGCTGCCATTTTGTTTTCTGTGCTACTATGCCAGCTATCCAAAGGGAAAAATTAATTAAAAAAAAAAAACTACTACTTCAGATAAGTAATAATTGATGGAGTGTTTAATTATAATACTTTAAAATGCTCGGGTGTCTACAGAATTCAGTTTTTTTGTTATTTTTCTACTGTAGAAAACTGAGTGATAATAAGGGAAGTGTGTTTAAGGTGATATGGGTAAGAGTACTTGTATTAACCAGCATAAGCATAGTTACTTTCTCCCATTCTGTATACCATATATTCTCTCTAGCATCCAGCTTTCAGTTTTCAATCAGTTCCCAGTCCTCTTTCTATGAAGTAGAAGGTACCAGCTGTGCAAGACTTAAAAGCAGTGGCCGAAGCTAGTCCTCATTGGCCAGTGAGTGATAACTAAAGCACGAGCTCAGCTCTGATGCTGTGCTTGATTCTCATTGGCTAGAGCCAGTGTTGAATGTGTTGATGCTTCTTGTTGCAAGGGAGATTCTCTATATAAATAACATATAACACATTCTCTTTTAACCTCCCTACCTCGAAACATGTTGGGGGAACCTTTGTTCCTACAATCCAGAAATGCTATTTAAAACCTGTCTTTTTTTCTCAAGGCCTCTGAAACCTCTATCTTTTTGTCAAGCTCAGAGTAAGCCAAAGTTATTACAGCTGTTTTTATGGGAAGGTGAAAACCTTCCACCATTAAAAATAGGAATCGCTCAGTATTTTCACCCAGCCACTTTCTGATTTACTAGAAGATGGAAAAATAGTTTTGAAATTCAAAGTGAGACCACTGGCAGATTTGGAGGGAGTAATTAAATGCCATATGTTGGCACCAACACATTGAAAAGTTGTTAATTAATTCAAGCAGTCCCAAATCCAGGTGTGACTTTGACAGATTATATACCAGGGTGTTAGCACAGACTTACAGTTAGGAATGTTTTAAAATGAAGAGTTTCTAACCCCTACCTGGAAGAAGTTGCCCTTTTACTCAAAACATTAACCCTTTCCCCATTATACCATGGGAAGAACTTTTTTATTGATCTCTGGTCTGGAAGGCCTTTGGTTCTATTGCTGTTTGTCTGGGGGGGGGGGTTGTTTTATTTTTTGTTTGTTTGTTTTTTGGGTTTGGGGTTTTTTGTTGTTTGTTGTTTTTTGTTTGTTTTTGTTTGGGGGGTTTGTCTTGGTTTGGTTTGGTTTTGGTTTTTGGAAGGAGGAAGCCCATCTGTACAGCACTTCAGGTGTAAAAGTTCCATCCCCACTCAATTCATTGTTATCCTTGGGGAAAGTGCTTTTACCCTAAAGAGAAGGGAGCTTACTTTTTGTTTTTTATTCGTCTAAGGCACCTCCCAGACTACTCCGTTTAGGGTAGATTGAGTTAAACAATCTACATTCTTACTGATTAAAGATTAGATATGAGCCTCACACAGAGAAAAGAAATTAACATTTTTACTAGCATATGGATGTCTCCTCCCCGTTTTTTTTCTTTTTTAGCTAATGGTATTTTAAAGAAGAATTGCTTTCCTTCTTAATATCTGGCTGAGTTAATTTTTAGTGGCACCCAGGAAGTCAGGATTTCCTCTTAAATGATTTCCATTTTCAGAGTACTTATCTTGAGGGAGGGGCTATATTTAACTTACTCAGGATCTGCATGTATAATTTACTGTAGTACCACCCTGGAACTCAAAATGTACAAATTGTTTTAGCTAAACGCTGTAATTCCAAGTTTACCAGTGAAAATAAAAACCAAACAAAAGTTTTAAAATTTGCTTCTATCTTAAAAAACTAAAAGCAATATTCTTCATGGTAAGAAATATGACAGGATTTTTTTATTCTCATACCACTGCCAGCCATAGTTTAATAGGCATAGGAGTCCTGAACAGAAAATAGTAAGAATTCGTGACTAGTAGTCTTTTCCTTCCTTCTCCATCCATTATCCCATGCCTCATCAAGGGGGTGCCATATTCTCACAGGGCTTGCTGTCCACAGACCTCTGTATTCAGGGGCAAGCCCACAGATAGCCTGTACCCAGCTAGGGAGACTATAAAGGCTCCTTGTCAAGAGAATTGGGATCACTGAAGCTTGATGCCCTGGACCACTAGGCGTTTGCCAATTCATGGTAAATCACTGGCATTTCATTTGTTCCAAAACTATAAAAGGAACAATACTTGAAATTTTTTATCCAAATAAGTAGCCTATCCAGTGACCTTTAAATCTGTCACTGTACTTAGTCATTGAGCCCATTCTCTCTGATCATAAGATTTTTTTTCCTTCTTCAGATATACCACTGTGTTCCTGACTTTGTCCCATAAATGTTAAGTGCCTTGTTTTCCCTACTCCAACTCCAAGTCTCTCCAGAGTCTGCTTTATTTCTCGTTTTCTCGTAGGGAGACATGAAAAGAGCTCTAGACCTTCTCTGAGTTGTCTTAGAAAGTACCCTGGGTGTAGAGAGGGGGACTCTGCACACTGCTCTAGCACCCTCCATCACAGTGCTTCAGTTAACCAAAGCACGTAGTGTGGTTGCCTTCTCTGCAGTGCTAAGGAAAGAGAAAGGAAAGGAAGCGAAAGAGTAGCTGAAAAACATTAGATGATTATCAGGATCACATTTCAAGTTAAGGACAACAATAAAACAGAGAGTGAAGTCTCTTAGTCACGACCATCCCTCCTCCTTTTAAGCCTCATCTACTTCCTCTCGCTGGGAAGAAACACTAAAGAAACCAGAACTCTGGGCGGGGGTACGAAAGTGGGTTCAAGTCCACATTAGACCTCTTATTTCCTGAAAGACCCTAGGGAAGTTGCCTCCCCTCTTTATGGACTCGGAAATCAGTTTTACAAATGGATGAAATTAGTCTACCAGGGATCCTGAGTTCAATTCCCAGCAACCATATGGTGGCTCACAACTGTCTATAATGAGATAATGAGATCTGGTGTCCTCTTCTGACCTGCAGGCAGAACACTGTATACGTAATAAAATAAATAAATATTTTTTTAAAAAAAGAAATTTTAAATTAAAGTGAGAGCACTAAAAATCTGTTTCTCATCAGCTGGGTGTGGTGGTGCATGCCTTTAAACCCAGGTAGGGGCTGTCAGATATGATTCTCAAGGAACAACAACTTTTTTCTGTAAAACCGACTTCTGCTACAAGTGTCACCAGCCTGGCTAGTTAGAAGCTAAATCAATTGTTCTTGGTGTCAGAACAGATGGGGTGAGCAGGAGGAAGAGGGCAGGTGCAGGTGTGCAGTCAGCTTTAGGACTGCATTCATTCTCACATGACCAAGCCTGGTTTGATTTGGGAATGAAGCATGGATTACAGGGGGAAAAAAGAAAGATGACATGGCCTTTCTTCATTATTTTTATCTTTTAGCTGTGGAAGACCGAAAATTGTTCATAGGAATGGTTTCGAAGAAATGTAATGAGAATGATATCAGAGTGATGTTTTCTCCATTTGGCCAGATAGAAGAATGCCGGATTCTCCGGGGACCCGACGGGCTGAGTCGAGGTGAATGTGCTTTCTGTAAAGTCTTTCTCCTTAAGTGCTAATTGGAACTCTGTGTCACAGTCAAGGGAGATGTAGGCATCACATGTAGCGGGGGGGTTAGCTTGCAATACATCCCAGGTGATCAAGTTATCCAACCTGAACTTTCCTCTGTAACCAAAATGATCATCTCTTACTTTTTCAGGTGAAAAGGTCTGAGTGCCATATTAGATCAGGTCCCATGGAACACTGGAAGGCTGCCCTAGCTCTATACCCCCTTTTCATCCTCAAATTGAGCAGATTTGGGAGACAAGGAGGAAAGGTGGGGGATGAAAATGGATACTCGGCCATACTTTTCTTTTTTTTGTCTGTTTGCATGAGTGAGCGTTGAAGATGTGATCCTCATGTAGCTATACAACCTAGAGAGAGTGTCGGTACTCGTGCAGTGGACAGTACCTCAGAAACCGTACCTGTCCTGCCCTGCACCCCTCAAGCATCTCTAGTCCCCTGTCCAGTCCTGTGACGGATAAAAGGCCTTGACCTTTAGAAAACTATAGACTCTTCTTTTCCCACAATAGAAGCAAAGGCTGTGGCTTAAAGCCATGAGGATCAGTGGGGATCACTGTGGCTTTCCATACCTGCCTCCCCGTTACCAGGACCTCACACCCCCCTCCTTAAAGTACAAGAAGGTTTACAGTATGTATTAACAGTTGTCTGCCTGCATTTTTCCAAGTCACTCCAAAGAGGAAGTGTATATGTCAAGTGTTTTTCAGTTTGTAGAGAAATCTTCATTTTGCAGTGCAGTTTCCACAGAGTTAATAAAGAACCTTGCTCGGTCTCAAGCTCTAGTTCTAGGCCAGCTCTGGTACCCAAACCATACATTGAAAGAAATAGCCAGGCCTTAAGTGTCAAAGTGGTAATTTTCACCTGTCTCACCATTCTTACCTAATTTCAAAACCATGAGAGGAACTTTTTTGGCTTTTTTTTTTTATCTTAGACATAAAGATTCAAAACTAGAATTAAAACCAGAACAAAAGTTTCACCCACATCTGCCTCCAGAATTCCCAGATGGAGGCTGTCAAGAGAACCCGGAGGAGCAGAATGTCACCAACTTTTGATTCCTGTGTTTTCCTCTGAAGTTGATTTAAAGGGGGAGGGGGAGGAGAGCACTGTGCAAAACACAGTTCATTCATCCTGTCAGTTCTGAAATACTTGTTATTTAACCCTCACTTAAAGGCTGGATCTCTAACAGCTGCAGAAGATACTGAGCGTGACCCTTAAATAACAGACTTAGCACCTGAGACAAGAAGTGCAGAGAGCATGGAGAGGACAAAAAAGAAAGGGAGGGTGGGAAGGCCTTTAAAGTAAGCAGAGTGACGTTTATAGTCACTGAGTCATTCTAGCTCCCTGTCCCAGAATTTGTGACCTTAGTTTATTTTCCTATCTCTGTCTTTTTGTTTCCCCATTCCTAGATGACAGCCAGCACTGAAGTGTGTCTGTCCTGCTTCTCTTGCAGGGCAATATTAATAACCAGTTACTAGCTGCTCCCACACTTAACTGTCTTGATGGGTGCTAGAGACAGTGAGTGTGAAGCTGAGTGCTGGCTTCCTGCCTCCCTAGGCTTGGCTTAGGCAGCTATAAAGTGCCATGCTGGGGAGATGACCACATACGGTTATCTTCAGGTGTCATTAGTTTTCACGGGAAAGAGCAGACCACCCACGAGTTATTAGGAGAAGTTAGCTGATTTGATCTGCTGTTGGGTTGATTAACCAACATATGACCCAGAAGCAGCCTTTTCCTACAGTAAGTTATGGGTGCCTCCTCAATATGTTATGCAAACGGTGGACTCAATGTAAAGAAGACAGTACCACCCCCACATTTAAACAGAAAAGTAATTTCTGGTGAACTGGTGAGAATTCCCTATTGGAAACAAGAAAATAGTCATTCATAACCATTTGTTTTGAAATACGAAGATGCACAGGGGTACATTTTCCTTGGTAGGATGGAGGGACCCCTGGCTTCAGGGACCAGCTCCAAATCACTCACTGTATTTGATTAAAAAAAATTCTTTTTCATGCTACTATTTTGTTCTCATTGAAGAATTTCAGTTTTCAATAAACTATTAATAAATGTCTCACATTAGTGACACTTCAAATGAAAGATACTCAGTGTCGGTTGCTAGCTCAGCTGTTGAAAAATAACAATAAACAAAAAGTGAAATAAAAGCTTGGCTGCTCTGAAATGTACTCTTAGTAGAAAATCAGAACATAAGGCTAAGATGGTAGCACACGACTTTAATCCCAGCCTTGGGAGGCAGAGACAGGTGGATCTCTGTGAGCTGGAGGCCAACATGGTCTACTGAGTTCAGGACAACCAGGGCTACACAGAGAAACAAACAAACAAAAACCCAAAATCAGAATATAAATGTTGAGAAAGTTGTTAAGTTAGACGGTTTAATGATGATAAATGAAGGTGCAGTTGAATGGTTGGCCACTTACCTTTTTTCTGGGTTTACACAGTTCAGCTATAAATACGAAGACAGTTAGTCAAGCAGGCCTCTCCCAACCCCCAGCTCTTCCTCTGCCACATCAGCCAGTTGACTTCCTCTGTAACAGGCACTCTGCTGACACCCCTCAGAGATGCTGACTCAGAACGCTACTCAGCAGCACAGAGGCCTAAAAGCTGCCAGCACTCACAGCTGTACCTATCAAGCCCTAAATACGATTTCAGTTACTGTCATTATCTTGGTGGGGGGCCCTCACTATCACCAATCCATGTCCCAGGACAGACACTCTCAGAAAACGGTTGAAGGTGTCTACATGCAAAGTACCTAGCACTTGCCAGGCATACAAAACTACTTAGCAAATATTTTGTCTCGTCCATGTAAAGGGCAAAGTGCCCAAATCTAAGGCCTTTCCCCCACTGGGTACAGTCATTCATTCTGCTGACTCTCCTGTTTCCCAAAGCATGTGCCTCATCACTTTGAAACAGTTTCATATCAATAGTTACACCATTCTGCAAGGACAGCTGCAGCTCCTGCACGGCTCTCCAGGAGAAAACAAGGAGGCCACCATAACCCATCTGTGACATTTCCAATGAGACATTTGCTCTCAAAAGCATAGCTTGAGGATTCCCAACCAAACATACATATTTAACAGTGTCACTTTAGGATGTTGCGCTTCTAAGTTAAACATGTTCTCACTGATCCATACAGTCAAAAAGGTTACGGAGATCTAACCTATGGGATTTTCTGCACAATGACAAATGAGTATCTGTAACTTCTCGTCAGTAAAAAAAAGCTCATTTTGTTTTTCTTCCCCACAAACTGTAGTCAAATCTTCACTACCATTTAAGGTAACTTTCATTCTGCTTGTTTAAGACTTTTCCAGCTGTGCTCCAGCATTCCCCTGCCTAAGCCTTTGACAAATGAGTGTTTTCAAGGAATAGCACAGACTGGGCTTAGCACTTAAATCCTTGTTTGTTCCTTGTCTGTATTCAAGCAGTATATTAAGATAAGGCTTTTGATCACAGTTTAGTCCTGTCCACTCAGTACCTAGATAGTATTCATTGACGTGGACACTTTCATCACGTTCTTTGAAATACTGACTACATTTTGTTCAAAATAGTCTTCCAGCCCCATCTAAGCAATGAGGCTTTGTCACCTGCTAAGTGGGTCCTAGTCTGTACCCAAATTCAGAAGCCATAAATGAATGATTGTGTCAAAGCCAGTTCTCCATATGCTAACCCAACATTATCTATGATATTAGATTACTAATGCATGTGCCCAAGTATTATGCCGTACTGTGTGTTTGGTCATTCCTGCCACTGTTAAAAAGATACAGCAAGAATTAGCTGTATTAATATCTTTGTTAGTTGATGATGAATTTATAAGTAAGTTTTCCCTAGTTTGAAGTCTCCTTCATGCTGCACAATAACTTTAAATCATGTTTCTCCTCTGTGAGATATAATAGGCCACTGTGCCTTTTTGAAAGAGAGCTGGTATCATTCATTCTTTTCTTTTAAAAGTATTTCTAACTTTGGGGTTTCTTTTAGTTTTGTTTTTGTTTTCTCAGTGTGGAGCAAGAATTTGTCTAGCTCTATAAAATTCTCTTAGTAATTGAGATAAGAGGTAGAACACCTGAGTTAAGACGCCCTTTCACTGGGCAGTGGTGGTACACACCTTTATTACCAGCACAGGGAGGTAGAGGCAGGTGGATCTCTGAGTTCAAGGCCAGCCTGGTCTATAGGGAAAATTCCAGGACAGCCAGGGCTACAAAGAGAAACCCAATCTCAGAGAAGAAGGGAATGGGGGGAAGATGCCCTTTCTATTGAAATGGCAAGTATAGTAGAGATATTCCCAGCACCCCACCCTCTGTGACAGTGTTTGAGCTTCCTTAGACCCTGTCTGTATGAGGAAATCACTTTGTGAAACCTTTTCCCAGTCAATCATCTATCTGTCTTAGCAGCAAGAAGGCAGGCGCACTGAAAAATTCCATCCCTCATTCCTATTAGTAATCTCTGACATTCTGAAAAGTGGAAACAATTGCTAGCTAAACTATAGGTTAGCCACAAAAGGATTTTTTTTCTCTTATATGTATTTGGCAGTTTTAAGACAGTGATGTGTATATATGCTACTATATCCACGCCAAAGAGGAAATAAATGTGGTATCATTTTAATACTTGTATCTTTATTTCCTCCAATCTAAGTTCTCCAGCACTGAGGTCCATTACCAGAGATACTAGTTTCCAAGATACTGCATTTAGGTTTCCTAAATAGTCATAGACCGATAGTACACAGTCAGAGGCCCTGTCCTGTAAAGACTCAGTGCCACTGAAAGCAGAAGGATGGACCAGTTAGGACCTAAGATACTTCTGCCCAGTAGAAAGCCTCTGGTCCAGCTGTAGAAAAAGCAGTGACCAGTTTTAATAGTAGAGCTCTTATGACCCTGTGCTGATGAAGAGCCACATAGAACTACCACAAGCTCCCCTAAGACACAAAAGTTAACAAGCTTTACTATCCCAAACAACAGTTGACTCCTCAGCTGCTTAGCTTCATCCAGAGTTGCACAGAGAGTGAAATTTTTCCCCATGTATTCCCACTTTATAAATGACTCAGTAATTTTTTTTTCTTCTGAGTAATTGAGCACAGCACACAGTTAAAGAGCTTGAGAGAAGCCCCTCAGGAGACAGCTTTGCTCTTCCCCTTCACCACTGCCAGCAGAGTAAAAAGGTTAAAGAGGTCATCACACTTGTCAGATCATTTTTTGAATGGGTTAGCATTGTAAAATGAAGTATTGTTTGGTTTTTTAATTGTAGGCTTCTTAAAGGAGAGGGCAATGATTCGGGTTGATAGAGATTTTATTGTGCCTGTAATTGCTTTATCTTTTTCATGTTACTTATGTGAAACTGTGATAAATGAATAAGCTGTGCCTTATTGATTCTTATTGACATTTTACATGTTTCTAATACATTTTTAACCTCCATTTGGAAACTGTCAACTTGACATACATTCATTAAATAATATGAGCAAATGAAGTTAATATAATAGTTTTCATGACCATTAAAGCAGAATTGGTCCATGCTTCGTATGCTTTCAAACATACTGCTGCTACATGATTTGCTTTGGCCTCCATTGTAGTCTCAAGGCAATAAGTGGAAAAATTAAAATCTTAAGTATTATTTCCTCTGTAATTTCAGTGATGATCATATTTTGAAGAGATAGTACTTTAAAACATCTGGTAAATTTAAGACTATACTTTCATATCTTAGCATCAATACGGAATCCAGTGGAGACATTGTCATCCCTCTCACACGCTATTAGATACATGGTCTACTGGTCTTTAAGAAGGCCATTGCTTCTCTGGATGACAAAAGCTACAGTCATGTCTAGGTACATGCAGCATCTTTAAATAGTAGGCTTTGTCAGCTGCTCTGTCAGAGAACTGCAGGCAACAGCTCAGTACTTATGCGAGCTGGACTTCTTGCCTGCTTTTTAAGACCTGCTCAGCCATCAGGGGGAATATGGGATACCCATCCTGTGTATGGGGAACTTTTGTATATTAACGTGTTGCAGAAAGTACGCACTTAGTTCCTTTCATGACTGGATGTCATTGTGCATTGGAGATAGTGGACAGGCACTGCTTTCTCTTAGTGCTGTCTGATTAAAAGGCACTGCAGCAGAATACTGCTGTATTGATTGACTTGGTATTCTCACCAGGTCCCCAATGCAGGACAAAGGAAGAAAATGTATTTATGACTCACAAATTGATTTACATAAACCAAACAATCTGTTGGTTGTTTGAATATAGAATGTTGTTCTACTTTGTTTATTGGCCACAGGGGCAACAATCTCATACTGCTGATGCCAGAATTCTGCTTTCATGCCTTTGCTCTGAAATGACAATAAGCTCCAGCCTCTCAGTGTTTAGATCTGCTTCATTTGGAAATCTTTTAAGTAGTAATAATAATGTTTTGAGGAAATTGAGTGGAACACTAAATTATTCGCTGATACCTAAGTTCAAACTGTGCAAGCTAAAGAAGCTGAAAATCAATGCTCTTTTAAAGTCATTAGAGATCATAAATGAAATAAGTCTGTATTGCTCTAGCTGAGCTTTTAGTGTGCTGTGGTATTATTATAAAATCAGCCTAAATCTGCATTAATTTCACAGCCTTTTTCTCTAAGAAGCCCAAGGGTATATGATGAATAAAATGTAAATTTCACAAGGCAGTGTTTTTATTAGTGCAGTGGGCGATGAGCCATGTAGTTAGACTGGTGACCTGCATGGTGACCAGGGCTGCCATCAGAAGCAGGAAATAGCGCTAGAGATGCTAGCAGTTTTATATCACTAGATAAAATAAACACAGAAAACTTTATAGGTCTTATAGTAGATGTTCAGAGAAATGTACATTGTCTTGTGTGTGTTAAAGTTTAGTTCAAATCTCTGATTCCTTTCAGAAAGTTACAACTTCAAAAGTCATGAAAATTTTGTACAGACAAAACAGTTTTTGTAATTTATTTCATATGCACTGTTGAATTTGCTCAGAGTAATAGTCTGCTTTGTCAATAATTAGTAATTACTACTTTGTAATGGATTTGGTTTATTTGTTAACATTTGAATAGCATCAGTTTATGTTTATATATGTTTTGAACTATCCAAGATGAGTTAGATATATTTATTTGTTAATATTTTGAGCTCCTGAAAATTATTTGCTAATTTACCCCTGGTTTGATGAATTCTTTATTTGCTTCTTAAAATTCAGTGATAAATTTTGAAATACAAAGTCCTGGTGTATGCATGCTCTCAGTGCAGAGATCATCAGCCAAGAAGACGATAGAAAGTTGCCCACTTTTAACTCTGAAAATGCAAATTACCTCTTGCTACTTTCAAACCTTGTGGCTAAAAATAGTACGCAACATGCTCCCTAGTTCCCTTAAAAAAAAAAAAAAAATAATAATAATAATAATAAGCTAATGAATAAATTGTTCTGCTTTGATCAGATTAGCAATTCAGCACTGTGAATAAAAAGAAAAATAAGATAAAAACCAAAGAAAGAAGCTGTTTATTTTTATGTACTACTGAGAACAGTGTCGTCTTGTGGCAGTTCTCGTAGACTGTGTTGGTTTAACAAGCGTCCAACCCTTTTGTCTTGTTGTTTTTTGTCTTTCCTGCTCCCTGTCCCCTTGTTTCCCACAGGCTGTGCGTTTGTCACATTTTCTACAAGGGCAATGGCACAGAATGCAATCAAAGCCATGCATCAGTCTCAGACCATGGAGGTACTGTATCATCTGCCCTTTCTTTGTTTTCTTTGTGCAAATGATGGGGAATGGTAAAGCAATTCTCTCCTGTGTGGATTGTTCACATGACAATCACAGATTTTAACTTTCACCATTTCGCTTTTCATTCACTCATATTCATCCCCCCTCTTTTTCTCTCTGCGTGTCCCTTCTCACTTCCATTCCCTCTTCTCTCTTTCCACTTACATTTTTCCCCTAATGACTTGAAATGTACTTCAGTGAAACCTTCCACTTGCCCCACAGCTGTCTTCTGAGCCTTTTATTGGAGTCCTGAGATATGAGGCACTTGAAGCAAAGTGTCATTCTGAACCTAGAGGATTGAATAAGGACCCCACAGCAGGGTTGGTGTGTACTAAGCTAAACAACCCCCACTTCAGATCACCTGATTAAAGGTGTAACAAATCACCTGATTAAAGGTCTTAATATCGTCAAACAATTGTTTTTTTCATCTCAGGAATTAAGAAGAAAGTTAGTAATTCTATTTAACAATGAAATGATAATTTTTAGTCTCCTGAAAAATTAGATTGGTCCTTTTAATTAAAAGTGAACAACAAAGAAATATGCGTGCTCAAATCCAATCTCCTAAGAGGTTGTGACTTGAGGAACAAGAGAATCAGCAATGTGAAATGTGCCACAGGTGGAGAGGCACGGCTCTCTGTGCTCAGTCTGTGATTTGGGATGTAATCTTTCAGAATTTTGCACAAGAACATTCCAGAAGTGACATGCCATCATTTACTCTGTACTGTGTGATAGGATCATCTACAGTGCATGTGCTGCTGTGTCATGTACACTGTGTCTGTATGTGGGTGATTCTCTCAGGTGGTGGCCTTGTGCTGTTACAGAAAGCTGTCTTTTCCTATTTGAACAAAAATATTTTCAGTTTTATTTAATGTGCAAAAAAATGGTAATTGTTTGAGCTTCTTTTTTTAAATCCCCTTTTGATTGAGGTTTTATTTTTTGTTTTTATTTGTTTGTTTTTGTTTTTGCAATGCTGCATCTTCCAAAGCATGCTGGGAGCTAAGTGATCATTCTGCGTCATGTTTTATGGGAAAGTTCTTTTTATTAACTCAGAAGGTGGGTGGAAAGGGTGGAAGGAGTGTGCATGGCATTGTCATTAAGTGTTTACTGTACTTTTTTGAGTTGTGACATCAGCATTGCAAAGCCTATTGTCTTTTTTAAACATTCATTTTGACTTTGATATTCCTAACATATATAATTAATGTGTTTTCCTTGCAGTGCAATGCATTTTTAAGACAATCCCACCCCCCCTACCTGAAGGCAAGCTCAGGTGAAATCAAACATGGTAGAAAATAATAAGCAGGATTCCAGTCGTGTCTACCTTGCAGTCACATTCCTTGTATTTTGGGTTCTTTTTCCTTTGCTCGTGAGCTGCTCAAGATTTGTGGATTTCCAGCTATTTCCCAGCTTAGATGTTAAAGTAATCATGCTATTAAAAGAAAAGGGGGGGGAGTCCTCATATGTACATATTTATATATATGCATTTAGCTATTTTAATTTCCTCTAATTGAGGAATTTATACCAAAATTGATCTCTCCTTAGATAAGGTTTTTCAAGTTCTTTTGACATTTAAAAGTGCTGCTATCCCCAAATGAGTTCATAGAGAATGCTGATATGCTTCGAATCTTTCATTCCACTGCAGAAGAGCTCAAGATAGAAGGCAGAACGAGACATGAGCCAAAGCACAATGAGGCTTTCATGCAGAAAAACACTGTATAAGGCTGGCTCAGGTTTATTCTTCAAATCGCTTTTGTGGTTCCATCATAGTTGGTATACTCCTTTTTAAAACTGGATGCCCATGCTTAAACAAAGGACCCTCAGTTTGATTTACAGTTTTGACCTCTAAACAAAGTATTACATGGCATGCAGTTCTACTATAATCATAACACTACAGTTGTTTGCTTGAGTTTTAACTAATTACACTATTTTCAGGACCTTGGTACACACCTTTAAGCAAAACATTAACTTAAAATGATGTGACTGTTCAAATGTTGGTTTCTAAAACACACACAGCATTAATTTCCCATTTTTTTCTACACAATTCCTGCTTTTCTGTTATGACTTAAACAGGTCACTATTAAAGCTACAGTTGTTTACCTGGTGTTATACTTTTATGCCTTTTCTCACATTTAAGAGCAAGAAATCAATAAATGTACTAATAGGAGAAGGTGGAAGATGCTGTTGCTCGTCAAGGAACACGCTTGATGTAGCAATACAACTTTCTCCGTGCAAAACTTCTCCGTGTTAGTTTTGTCTTTAGAATATTTTGCTCTAAGAAGTGAAGCAGTAAAGTACTGAAATATGAAGCAGATAAAGAAAAATTAATACCAATGAAAAGTAGTAAGCTTTTAATAGTGGAAATGCTACTATTATGTAATTTATTACCATTTTACAGTCTGCCCCGTGACTCTGCCTACCAGAGTTATAGGCTGATAGATTAAAGCTTCACACTGAAATGGTTATCTCACATTTCTTACTTTCTTAAATAACAGACTTGATAGCCTAATGTGATTCATAGCTAAATTCCTAGTAACTACCCAAAGTGATGAAGAAAAGCATGCAGGCTTGTCTTTTAGAAGACAGAGAGATGGCCAAATGGGAAGGGAAGGGAAGGGCTCATTTCAACAGTTTATCTTTTGTGAGAGGATTCTGTTATCACATAATAAGATTTAATTTAATCTCTTGGATAGAAAGACATTTTTTTTAAAAAGTCTCAGCAAAATGTAACAGAATGGTTATGGAATGTGCTCCATGTCCCATATCAAGGACTGAAGGCTTGGGAGGGACGGTACTTTTGAGCGGAGTTCTTACCAAGTAGCAGGTATTCCAAAGGTGCTTGAGATAGGGCCATCCTGTTTGAAGTTGTAGGCTAATATTTTCCCAAAGATGATATCTAACTCAAAAATTAGTTTATTTTATTATATGACCTTTGACCATTTCTTTCTCACTCCTTACCTTTTAAAGGAAATTAAAACTGAATGGGGCTTGTAGAACAGTGAGATTAACTGAGAAAAGGAACCATGTAGAATCCTTCTCCTACCATTTCAGATACATCACTCTGACTACATAGAATGTGCTTCTGAATTTTTTGTTTTGCTCTGGGGGCTTTGGGTAGGTCAGAAGTGACATGGAAGGAGGAAAAGAGACCTTTCTGAGAACATGTGAATAATTACTTTGATCAGTGACTATATTTTTTTTATATCTTTGTCCTTCATCCATGTTTCTAAAATGAAACTCACTTTTATTGTGTGAAAATTATTTTCACTTTTCCAGTGTTCAGAAATACATAACTGAAAATCAGTGAATGGTGAAAAAAAAGTGAGATATTTTTATTCCAATTGTGATTTTTGTCCGCTTATCCTGTAACGTTATATGGAAATGGCAGACACACAAAGACAAGGCTATCTTTAAGTCAAGCAAGCCATGAAATTTAATTAAAGATAATGTCTTTGTCTTGAAGGAAGTCCTGGAAAGTTGAAGACACATGAAGAGAGGAGAGGCAGTGAAATAAAACAAAAAAGCAGGTGGCTTCACCAACAGATCCCTTTAAAGAAACCAGTGACAGTATAATGGAGTTTTCTATTGATACCTTTCAGAGAAGAAGGAATATCAAACCATTTAAAACCATTCCAGACCATTCCATGTGCTCCAAGATAGTTGAGAAAGATGAATCCAGTGATGACTGACTATCCAAAAAGGGATTCAATCAGGCTGTAACATCCTCTTCACTTTCCAATGTGTCTGACCACAGGGCTGCTCTTCACCTATCGTGGTGAAGTTTGCTGACACACAGAAGGACAAAGAGCAAAGACGCCTCCAGCAGCAACTTGCACAGCAGATGCAACAGCTCAACACTGCCACTTGGGGGAACCTGACAGGGCTGGGTGGACTTACCCCACAGTACCTGGCGGTAAGTGCTGGAGAATATGGGTCTCTAGGTGGCGTCCGTGAGGAGCAGAGCAGAGCTCCGAAACTGTCAAAAGCTGCCTTTAAGTATGCCAAAATTCTACTTTCCATGTATTTTGAGTCCCAAAAATTATGAAATCAGCATTAGGGCAGGTTTTTATTAATTAAATTGATTAGCATAAGAATGTGCCTAATTTAACTTTGTAGAAACAGTTGGCAGCTGATTAAAACCCAATACACTAGACTTCTAGACAGTGTTTTCAGGCACAGTAAAAGCCTATGCAAAGTGGGTACCCTAGTAAGGGGAACAAGGACTGTCTCTGACATGAACTCAGTGCCCTTACCTAAATCACACAGCTGGATGTGTCTATGGGCCTTCAGCTAACTTTAAGTTTTCAGCCTTTGTCACTACCACTGCCACCCTCTGCCCAGCAGAGTCCCCATGTAAAAAAAAACAAGGCTGTTCAAAAAAGAATAAGGGAAGGAAGCATTCTTTTCCTGCCTTCATCTGAGCCAGTAAAGACTGACTATGCTTACTGTCATTTTGTGGCTATTTATCCTTAAAAATACCATGGATATTCTTGCCACATGTCTTGCTTAAATCTACATGTGTACTGCCATGTTTTTTTTTTCCTAGTCTGTTGCCTGGTAATATTATTTCCAAAAAAGAATAAAGTAGAATATAACCTATACCCTAAAACTGTTCTGTTCCTCCTCCTTTCTTTTCCAGAAGTAATAATTACTCTAATTCTTTTTTCACCTTTTTAAAAATATATTTGAGATGATAATTGGGACATTCCTCCCTTCCCTCTCATCCCTCCAAAACTTCCCATAGACCTTCCTCTTTTTCAAATTCATAACCTCTTTATTACTGTTTTTTTTTTTTTGTGTGTGTGTGTGTGTGTATGTATAGGCATATACATATATAGTCCTAAATAGAATGGGTTTTGTTCACATAATGCTACCTGCATGTATGTTCTCAGGGCTGATTGTTTGACACTAGTCAATCAATTGGTCTACTTTTCCCCAGGGAGGACCACCTTTCCCTCTCACAGCTCTCTTTACCTGCCTCTAGTTTTCTATGTAGGGTTGAGGCCTTGTGAGTTTTTCTGCATCTGGTTTGGCACGTCTGTTGTTGTCCTCCTTGTTCAGCTCATAATTGGGCAGATTTTATGGATGTAGCTAGACAACCCTGTAACTATACCTTTGTATTTGAGCTATACATTCATTAAAAAGGTTGGGTTTGTTTTCTGTTTGTGTTGGTTGGTTTTGTTTTTGAGACAGGATTTCTCTATGTAGCCTTGGCTGGCCTGGACTTGCTTCGTTAGGCAGGCCTTGTACTCACAAAGACTGCCCGCTCCTGTCTCCCTAAGTGCTGGGATTACAGATGTGCACTACCATGCCCGGCTCACTAAAAGGGGTTTTAAATGTTTAAAAAAAAAAGTTGTTTGTTTGTTTTCACAAATTTGTTGTTGAGGTCGTCATAGACCATCAGCTTAACTGTGTGTACCAAAATTTTTATTCAAGGTTAACATCATGCTTGCCTTTTCATACTTTCTATAAGTCCAGTTTCTTGTTCTATCATTTCTGAAAGCCAAGACATAGGTACCTGTCTTAATATTATGGCACGAAATCTCTGATATGTGCTCCTGTTACCCCCTCTGAAAATTCTTTTCATAATCTAAAAGAGAATAAAACTTAACCCCATCTATAGAATTGACTTTGCATAAGATGTGAGTAGGTTTTCTCATATCCTGATGTCAGTGTATTCTTAGCCATGCTTCTCCTCTCTTGTCACTTGAAAATCTTCTGGTCTGAAAGGGCTTTTGGCCCTTAAAGCCCTCTCTACCTCTGTGTTAAACCACAAATCAAGTGTGCAGTTATTGGTGAGTGTATCTTAACTTTGTAAATAGTCTGCTTACCTCAGCAGGTATTACTAATTCCTTAAAATACCTTTAAAGCTAATTTTACAACTTTAATTAAAATAACAACAGCATATACTTTTAAACACAAATACATGAGACAAAAGATCAAACTAAAATAAGATTTTTATGTATTAAAATGGATAATCCCCAGGTTTTCTCACCTCCCTGTTTTCCTGTGTGAGTTTGAGAACAGGCTTGTATGTACATAACTGTATGTTTCCCCATATATCGACTTTATCTTTAAGAACGTGTCTTAAGATAGTACCTACATTAGCCTACAGTCCAGCTAAGGTGGACAAGAACATTTCAGAACTGGAACCATGTGTCTTTATACCTTGTGACACCCACAGATTCTACACAGCAGACAGTGGGGTTTTGAAAGTAGAACGTGAAGAATTTTACAGGCATATTAATTAATATCTTTTTGTAAAGATTTTGACATATCCAAAATACACAGATTCAGTGTATACCAGATAATTCCAGATTTTGACAAATACTTTCTCTTTTTTCCTGCTAGTAAAGACCATCTTAAGAATAGCTGGCCCCTTACTTGGCCATGTGGCTGTGGCTGTGACTGTAAATAGACATTCTTAGGTCTGAGGTCATTATAATTCTTAACATTGTTCTGAGTCCATAAATACATGTGTTTCTGATGAAGGTTAAAGAAAACTGACTCTGGGCATGGATGGCATGCTTACAAGGCCCTACCTCTAGCTGAGGAGCTATTAGAAGTTGGTGGCTGTTGGTGAAAGCACGCCATTTTTTTTCATTGTTATGTGGCCCCTGATAGGTTGCCTATGCTCCATGGAAGGTCCCATACCCATTCACCATGTGTGTATGGGTAACTAAGTGGGCTCAGTGGGATATAAAAAGAGAAGACGTGAAATCTAAAGGGGCATATGTAAAAGGAGGAAAATGATCAAGGTATATTGTAGTCGGGTATGAAATTCTCAAAGAATAAATATTTTTAAATGTCATTTAATAAAGAAGAAAGGGAAAACTGAGCTGGGAAGAAAAGTAGAAGAGAGAAGAAAATGGATGTTGATTGACAGAGATGAGTTATAGTAACTACCAGACTGCAGAGACTTATAATTAGTCATGCTTTGTTGGTTTCAAAAGACTTAGCACCTGGTTGTTAAAAAGAGTAAATTGATTAATTGTTTTAAGGCAGCAGTGTTAGTGAGTTTCCCTAGTGTCTGTGTTTCTTAATGGAGATTAGACATTAATATGGATTTACACCTCCAACTCTGGGGACCTTCAGCCTGTCAACAGGGAGTGGCAGCCAACTATGTAATCGTAAAGGAAACTAAATTTGTATCCAATTTCAGGAGGAGTTGTCTTGACTCCACACTGTTCTAACTGAATTCTTGTGTTCTTTGCAGCTTCTGCAGCAGGCCACCTCCTCCAGCAACCTGGGTGCATTCAGTGGCATTCAGCAAATGGCTGGTAAGTCATGAAACATGACATTCCTTCTGACCTTGCTATTTTCTGAATTGTTGGTTGTTTCAAAGAATAAAAGAACAGAGAGAAAGAGTAAATAGCAATACAGGATAAATTAGCTTTTTGTGTCTTGGGTATTAAAATTGGAATCAGCTGCTCTGAAATGTTTTTCTTGCATTTGCATTTCATGTTCACAGTTCACCTTGCAGAACAATTGTGAGAGGAGCTGTAAATTTCAGCAGAATATATTCTTTAGTTATTTGTGGGATTTTTTTTTTTAATGGGTGGTAACTGGGAGGTTTCCAGCAATGTTTCTATGTCTAAGGGCAGCTGAAATGATTAACATCTCTAAATTTTTTTAATAATAGGTGATCAATAAAAATGTTCTTACCTCTATAACAAAATCCAAGATCACCAGCATACATTTGATACAGTTTGTAGTCCCTTGATGATGACAATTAACACAGTTCCTTTCTTTTAAACTTTAGTGCCCAGTTAACAGAATAGTGCATCAGAAGCTTTTATGTAAAAGTATAATCTTTGTTCTCAGAAAAATCAAAGTGTGACTGTATTTGAAAAGCAGCTTATTGAAGGATTCCATTTCATAATGAGCTGTGCCATTAGCTGCTGCAACACGGTGATTAGCGAAAGGTCATTCCTACTGTGCCACCTTTCATGCTGACACCTACCCTAGCTCAGGAACAGGGAGGTAGTATGTGCAGGAAATCAGAATACAGGTGCCCATTAACCTGCCAGGAGGATTGTAGGAAGCTTTTTCCTTGTTTGATTCCAAAAGGGTAGGTGTGGGAAAGGCAAAGAAGAGATTGAGGGGGACATGTTAGAATAAAGCCATTTTTCTTTAATTAGGGATGCCCCTAATTAATTAAACAAAATCCACATGTGTAAAATAAAAATAAAAACCAGGTTTATGTATGTGTCCCTATAGAAACTCTTTTCCACTTACTTTTTTTCCAAATATATATATATAGTTGGTTTTTATGTTGTTGCTGTGTTGTTTTGATTTTGTTGTTGCTGTTGTTGTTTTTCATTCTAAAAGGTTTCTCCATATATTTTCTGTGAATAGCAGCCCAGTGGTCTGTTGTGGTCCACAGGATGAGGGCAATTCATTAGAGTGTATAGTTTAGTCAGATCTATTGTTAGCACTGTGGTACAGCTTTTAGATTATTAAAAAAAATCTAGATTATAAATTTATAAATAGTTAAACGATTGCATTATATTTAAGACAATGTGTTAGTAAGCTGGCCTTGGTGCCAAGAATCACACTGACTGACTAATGTGTTTATAATCTGTGATAGAATCTGGAAAGAAGTTAGTAGAATATTCAGACGAGTCTCTATGCTTTGAAAGAAAAAGAAAAAAAAAAACCCTCTCAGTTGCAAGCTGCTAAAATACATGCTGGCATTTGTCACATTTTGAGCAGGTGGGAGAATTGTTTTCCTTCTAGTAGCACAGACCCACCCAGATTCAAAATTAGGGGGTTTCCTGAGAGGTAGCCTCAGGCTGCCCTATCCCCAGAGCTGCATAATGCAAAAAAAAAGGTCATTTATTCCTGAGGCTGTTACCCAGCATGCCTTCCCAGGTGGACGGAGTGCCCTGCCATTTTTCATTAGGATGTGTGTGCCTCTGCCATCTCAGCTACAGGTCAAGATATTAGCATTTACATCTTCTGTGTGCTCATTTGAAAACTCAGGGTATCTAGGAGTCACCCTACAAGGTGTCATGGAGCAGGTGGCTAATTTAAAGACACTCTGAAAATGTTCTGGGGTCCCCAAAATATCCTTCTCTTGAACCTTCATCATGTTAAATTCACCACGTTAAGTCTACACACACTGTGAAATCAAATTCTGGACAGTCCATTGTGGGCCAGCATCTTGAATATTAAAGTATTAGAACATAGGTTTCACACCTTTTTGTATTGCTTTATAAAAGTACTTCTCACTTATATGAATAATCAAATCAACTCTAAGTGTTTAAAGCTTTATGGTTTGGGCTATTTTATTTTCTCCAGTAAAGTAATGGAATGTTTTATCCCAAAATAGGAGTTAACTTTGGTAGGGCTTACTCTTTGTACCTGTCGTTTACCTACCACGGCATTATGGGTGATCATGGTGGATGAGTGACATAGATTTCTTGCTGTTTTAACTGTTGTTCTGTTGTTGTGAAGACCCACCATGATCAAGCCAACATATAAAAGAAGCATTTAGTTAGTTGCAGACTTGCTTACATTTTCAGAGGGTTGGTCCATGATCATCATGGTGGGAAGCATGGTGGCAGGCAGGCATGGCATGGAAAAGGAGCTGACAGTGTACATCTGATCCATAAACTCTATGCAGATGTGAATGGGTCTGGCATGGGGTTTTGAAAACTGAAAGACCATCCCTGGTGACACACCTTCTCATCCTCCCTAAATAGTCCACCAGCTAGGAACCAGACATTCAAATATATGAGCCTATGTGAGCCATTCTCATTCCAGCCCCCACTCCATAACTCCTCCAGCTTCCATGAAGTTGCTCCTCCCTTACCAGAGTGTCTCTGAACACCTCAGACTCCTCAGTGCTCGAGGCCATGGTCGAGTCCTGGAGAGCAAGGCCTGGCCAATAGTGTATGGCGATACCTGATCTGTCCTCCTGTAAAGGTGCTAGCAACTATTTCTGCATAGAAATAGTGAAAATCAGCTTGTGAACTAATAGATATAAATTTGTATCTTGGATGCATTCCCAGTGCAGCCAGTTTTTTAATTATAAAACTTAGCTTTAGCTGAACACATAAACTGAAAATCACCATAAAAACCATTGTTATTACTTTCAAAAGTGCATTTCTGGGAGTTTGGAAATAGTTTGTCTAATATAAAACAAGTTACAGAGTACACTGATATTCTGACATAGTAAAAGTGAGAAAATATACAACTCATACTGCCAAAGAGTGTGAAACATTTTATAAAACAATACTGCTTAGTTACAAACAGCTTTCAAAGCATAATAGTCTTGCAGGAGACAGAGATTTAAAAATGGTTTATTTATATGAGCAAAACATTTCATTTGAAGAGAGAACAAAGGCAAAAAAAAAAAAAAAAAACAGAAAAAAAAATAAATTTTAGCTGACCTAAGTAATTGCATCAGTAAAATCTGATTCTTAGACCATAAACCCTATAGCTAGCTGCCTTTTTCTGTTAGTCGCAGAAATCACATACACCTCAACTGTTCCTGGGATAGTTAAAAAGCTATCCTTGTACCACCACCCCCTTGCTACTGCGAGTTAAGTTTGAAGTACTAGCTAATGCCTGCATCTCGGCACTTACACTAAGCCATACTAAATCCTGTGACGTCAGACTTCCCACCACCCCCTGAAGACCTATAGAAATGAGGAAACTCCTTTTGTGGTTCAGAGCATCTGGTGGCTTTCCTTTACTAACCCCATCAAGCTGCATGTGGTGGCCATGTCTCCTTCTGTACGTCTTCCCGCTCTCTTTCCTAATGAAGCTACTACAGGATTGTTTAAAAGAAGGCTATAGTGAGCTATACTTTATACTGTAGCCATACATCAACTATATGTTTTCTTCAAAAAATCTTAACCATTTTCCTTTGAAACTACAAATGTTTTTATGATTTCTATAAAAGGGAACCTGTACTAAATATTCAATTTTACAGCAGAAATGGATTTAGGAGCAAATCTTCATGAGCTAACCCCTTTTATGTATACATACTATGCTTTCTTGAAGGAAATTGATCTCATTTTCTTTTTGAAAACTTCTAACAGAAACATATTGATATTTTACTTTCCTTCATTATTTGTTCAGTGAATTTTTGAAATTTGAGAAGTATGGGATCTGCATCTGTCCCAAGAGCATGTATATGAAGTGAAGGCAAAAAGAACAAGAGCCAAGTATCCTTTTGGTCTTTTAACTTTCTCATGGCTACTGTGGCACCTTAGAAGACTATTTAATGAGATAATAAGAGTAACACTTCACATTTGCACTTAACCTAGATCCTTAGAATATCACACAACTTCAAGAGTATACCAAAGGCCAAAAAAAAAAAAAAAAAAAAAAAAAAAAAAAAATCACCTCTTTACCACATTGCAGTGGGAAAAACAGAAGTATGAAATAGTTAACTAAATTACATAGAGATCACAGCCAGAACCATTAAGTGGTGTGGTGTGGATTAGGACACAGACCTCTCAAATGGCACTTTATTAATATGAGCCTGTTACCATGCCATGTAACAGGTGACTTAGAAGAAGAGCTAACAAACTTAACCCATGTCATTAAGCTAGTGGGTATGAATCCATATTTCAAAAATTTTGGATCAGTAAATCTGATCCAAAACCTGTGCTGCCTGTCGCCATCCAGCTTATGAATCCGCACTGTGTCCCAGCCAAGTCAGGTATGTTGGCATAAACACAAGCTCCAGTGATGTGCCTACACAGATGGCCTAAGGGCAAATGACAAATCCCAGTTGAAGTAGAGACCAGCAGCTGCTAAAGAAGTAGCTGCTCAGAGCAGACAGGAAACTGCCTCGCTTCATTTGTTTCCAATTTATTAAGGCTGTGTAAGTCAAACAAAAGTATTTTTCTAGAACAAGTTCTTTTCTTTTCTTTCTTTTTTTTTTAAAGACAGTTTCTCACCCAGGCTACCCTCAAATTCATAAGTATATAACCCAAGAATGACCTTAAGTCTCAGTATCTGCTCTGATACCCTGCAGGGTGGAGTCTTTCAGAGGCCCTCTGTGGTAGGCTTCTGTCCTGTTCCCTATTTTCTCCCTCTTCCAATTTCCATCCCATTTGCCTTTCTGAATAAGGATTGAGCATCTTCCCCAGGGTCCTCCTTCATGCTTAGCTTCTTTAGGTGTACAGGTTTTAGTATGTTTATCCTGTATTATATGTCTAATCCCCACTGGTGAGTATATACCATGTGTGTCTTTCTGCTTCTGGGGTACCTCACTCAGGATGATCTTTTCTATCTAGTTCTCACCATTTGCCTGCAAATT